CCTGGCCCGCCCACCGCGCCGCAGCGCCCCTCCCACCCCCGCCTGCCGCAGAGCCCCTCCCGGCAGCCCCGCCACCGCAGTTGCCGCAGAGACCGGATGCCTCCTCACAGCAGCCCCAATAAGGGGCACCTTCAGGGGGCACCCTGCTGCTACCTCGCGGGCCCACAACCCCGAGCTTGAGGTTCTGCTGCAGAAACCCTCCCCCGGCGAGTTAACGCCGTGGGTGAAGACCGCAGACCCGAGACCCCAACACTCCCCTCAGACCACCCACATGCCCCCCCGCCCCAGAAGGTGGCCTCTCGCGGGGCTCAGGGGTACCAGCTGTGGCACCTGCTCCCGTCCCACGTCCGAAGTGTAGGTGCTGAACCGTGGCAGTGCCCACTTCCGAGCAACGAGCCAGGGGTGCCTGACTTGCCGCTCCCCAAGTCCCTAACAAAGAGTACAGCCAAGTGGCTAGGGAACGACAAGTTGGACTCGCCACCGAGCTCGTGGGCAATTCATGGGACGGCCACTACAGAGCAAAGCGGGTAAAGGTGCGGAGAGTCCAGGTTCTGTGGCGCGAGCCGCCGCGGCAACAGGCACGTTTGCTCTGCAGCAGCGCGACGAAGTCGGCGAGCCTGACACCCCGCCGCAGCACCCGCGGCCCGGGGGGCAAGGCTCCCCTTTATTTATGTAAGACGGAACCCAGAGGTACAGGAGAGAGAGCAATTGATTTTCATCCACAATCCTTTAAAAGGCATCGATCACGCCTTTGAAAAGGAGAGCGTAGCGTATCACAGAATGTCTGTTCAGCTTCTGGCTGTAAACTGAAGAGCGGGTGGACGCGTGCGAGCGCCAGCGAGTGCCCGGGCGGCCGCCGGCTGTGGGCTCTGGCCAGTGGGGGCGCTGCAGGCCTCTCTTCCACCCGAGCCCGGCCGCTCGGCCACTGCGACGCCGCGGCCCACGAGTGCAGGCGGCCACGAGTCAGCAAACGGCCAGGCTGGGAGAGCCAGTAGCGCCCGCGGGGCATCTAACCGTGCACCAGGGAGCGCAGGGCCACCCACCAGACACCGAAGGAACCTCCACCTACGAGCGCGTCGTGAGAATGTGGGGCACGAGACAGAGGACACTTCTACAGGGCACCCACTAGGCAGCTCGTGAAACGAATGCTCATCTAACATCTACACTGCGCTGAGAGCGGGGGCTACGAAATGATAACAATGGCCCCCGCCCCAGAGCCCCCGGCCATCTGGACGTGATCACAGACAAGAACTGACGCTTTTTAAATTCTGCTTTTAATTTCCTAGCAACATCTTGTGATAGGTTGTCCCCCTCCCCCTAACACTGAAGGCCCTCAAAGGCCGAGCCCAAGTATTATCCTTTTGTATCCCCAGAGCCCGCCAAGGTGCCGGCCACAAAGCAGACCCCTAATAAATACTGCATAAATAAGTACAATAATTTGAGGGCGCACAGGGGAGGAAGTAATTAAGGGGAGGGGGGAAGGGTTGTCTTGAATGATGAATAGACATTTACCGCAGAGACAAAGAACATTCCAGCCAGAGGGATGGCATTTGCAAAGCACCAGAGTCTCAGGACCCCACAACCTTTGGGAAAACCGGCAAGTTCTTTGGGACTCGGCACCAGCAGGCAAAAAATTCAGCGAGGAAGAGTATTTCATCGTGAGGAGTTTGGAATGTGTCCTAAAGAAAATGAGAAGCCACAGATGGACTTGAACCTTTTATGGCCTTAATTAGTTACTTAGCAAAATTTAAATTAGTCCCTTTACAAGTCGGGGATTACCTATTTTAACTAACCATCATCACGTTTTAAAGACTGAATTACTTCACAAAATTTAAATCGGTCCTTTGAACAGAGGAAAAGGCTTTCCTATTCTAACTAATGACAATAACAGTCTTTGCATTATATATTTTTCATATTTATTGTCAATGAAATCTTTGAGTCCTACAAACAATTCCACACTTTCATTCTCACCAGGCCAGAAGCACCGGCATCCAAGATAAAGGCAATTTTCTATTTAATGGACTGAGTGCTCCACAGAGGATCTTATACGGAAGGCCATGGAACATGTTTACCCTTCATGGAACAAGTGGGTAGATTGAGGAGAAAGACTCTAAGGCCTTGGGGGAACAGGAGAGAGCAGGGAAATCTGAAGACAACAGGAACTCCAAGTCTGGTGCTCAGAAGAAATCCTCCTGGACAAAGGGGCTAGTAAAAACTTCCTTGGGGAAGGAGGGACTGAGGTTGAGATGGGCATGAAACCCAAAACTTGATTAGGTGGAAAAAGAATTTCTGTTTGGAAAAACCTCCAGTACCAAGGCAAGGAGTCAGAAGAATGCAGAGGATACTATGAGAAATCAGCTTGGCTAAAAACAGGAATTTGCTTTCAGAAGTCGAGGGAGAAAATGCTGGCCATAATGCCCAGGAGTCAAAGAGTTAATGAATCTTCTAAATGTGCCTGAATAGTTCCAGAGGGGAGCTTCCTCTGCAGAGGGAGAGTCTGGTCCCAGGTCTAAAACACTTGGAGCGCCTGAGAAAACATGTAACCACACATAAATTCAAAGCCTGCCTCTGGCTTGCTCTCAGTGCACCCTTTCAGTTCTTCCACACAGATGTATCCTTGGTCACATCACATGCAGCAGTATTCCCTCAGCCAGAAGCTTATCATCCATTCCTGTCACATTCCAATTCTAACACAATTCCACATAATAATAAGACCTCAGATTTGTGCAAAATTTAGGGTAGAAAGATCTGCATTTATTATTGCACGTGATGCACAACAGCGGTATGAGATCAGCAGGGCTGGTACCACGGATTCAATAATCATATTTTTCTAACCCCAGTTTGAGACCCATAAAATAGCAAATGCAAGGATATTTATGGAGACAACAGGACAGAACTGGGACTGCCACTTTCAAGAGCCATAATTACAGATTTGAATAAACTAGAGAAGTCCAGGATGGGAGAAACTGGGTTGAACAGCAGCACACATTAAAGAGCTAAGGAGCTTTAGTTGATAAACTCAGTGAGTCAGTGTGATATGGCTCCAAAAAAGCTACTGTGATTGTAGACTACGGAGAGGACCCAGAATAAGCTAATCCTACTCTATTCTGCTAGTTAAACCCCACAGAAAGTATTTTATTCCATTCTCCAGAGCAGATATCAGGAGACATACAGACAAAGAGGAATGTTTTCAGAGAAGATCAACTAAAAAGTATTGCAAATCATGTCACTGAAGGTTTAACAGCTCTCATATTTTAAGCTCCTACTATGAGCATGGATCTTCACCCAATTTATCCCGAATCCTCACAGTAGCCCCGCTACATGTGTATTTTCATTCACACGTTTCAGAAAAAGATACAGCAGCCCACAGCGCTAAGTGTTAGCAGGGACTAGGAACTGATCACAAATGTGTCTGGCTCCAAAGCTGGCATCCTTTCCTCTTCCCCTCTACACTGCCTCCCTGTTCGAAATAACTGGGCATGTTCAGTTTGAAGAAAAGAAGCTTTGTGGAGTGAGTGGAAGAAGGAAATGTGTTAGCAGTCCTCAAATATTTGTGGAAGCAGCATTAGACATTTTATTCTGTATGGCTCCAGTGAGTGCAAATTGTAGAGAAACAGATGTCGATTCAACATAAAGAATTTTCTAACAGTGAGTGCTGTCTAGAGAGATGGGGTGGCTTGGCCATTTGGGGATGTCACAAGTTCCCTGTCACTAGGGGCTGGGTAACCATGTGGCAGGTATACAAGCTCTGGGTATATGACTAAATGAATGACCTTTAAGGTATTTTCCTATCTGATAGAAACTAAGGCACAGAGAAGAATTGGAACTTGGCCCGATTGTCTACTTGTCTACAGAGGGGACAAGTCCACATTCAGTCTTCCCTCGGTGTGGTCCGCAGCCCAGAACTCTTTGTTGTTCTGAGGGCAAGACAAATTGAAGAAATTATCACTAAAATCACATCAACCTCTCTCTCCACCAAATTTAACCAATATAT